TTATTTCACATAAAAATTTTTAGTGTCACATGCTAACTAGATAGACCTAGGACATGAAATATTTAATCTTTAAAAATTATGTTTTATATCAGTTGTGTCTAAAAGTCATTTATGATCATGGAGTTTACCATACTCAGTTATAACCATAAAATTTCAGACTTAATAAAAAAGCAAGCAACTTCACTTAAGAAATTCTGAAATCTTTAAGTGAAACTTCTCTTTCTTATAAATGTAATATGTTCCTCAGGAAACGGTAAGAGGTGGGTGAATATTAAGACTATCTCTAACTGGTAATTTTGACAATGAAGTATACTTACCTAGAACATTTGTCTCAATCTTGGCTGTGCTTAAATCACCAGGAGAGTTTTTTAGACACACTAGTGCTGGAGGCCTACTTCAGTCCAATTAATTAGAGCCTCTGTGTGAGCTGTAGGCATTAGTACTTTTTAGATGTTCGAGCTTATTGTACAGGTGGGCTTAAGAACCACTGACCTAAAGCTTGAAATGTTGTGTTTTTATTAAATTTCCAAATTTAGAATTTTTTGATAATCCTCACCCAAGGACATGTCCATTGATTTGAGAGAAAGAGAAAGAGAAACATCGATTGGTTGGTTGCCTCCCATATGCACCCTGACCAGGGATTGAACCTACAACCCAGTTATGTGCTCTGTCCAGCAGTTGAACCTGTGACCTTTCATGTATGGGATGATGCTCCAACCAACTGACCCACACTGGCCAGGGCTGGATTTTTTTGACTAACATTGCTGAATTGATTTTTTTTAATGCATAAAAAGCACATAACATCAAATGTATAATTTAATTATTTTTAAATGTACAGTTTAATAGTGTTAAGTATGTTCATTGGTGTCAAGTACACAGATATCCAGAACTTATTTATATTGCAAAAGTAAAATTGTATAACAAAACAACTTCCCTTTTCCCCGACCCTCCACTTCCAGACCCTAGATAACCAGCATTCTGTTTTTTGTTTTTATGACTGTCTACTTTATACCTCATATAAATGGAATCATACCATACTTACTTTTTTTGTGTGACTGGCTTATTTAACTTAGCCAAATGTCCTCCATATTGTAGACTATGACAGGATTTCCTTCCTTTCTATGGGGTGAATAATAGCTGTGTGTGTGTGTGTGTGTGTGCGCGCGCGCGCGCGCGCATACCACATTTTGTTTATTCATCCATGTGTTGATGGGCATTTGAATTGCTTCCACCTCTTGGCTGTTGTGAGTAGTGCTGCTGTAAATATGAGCATGTAGATATCTCTTCAATAGTCTCCTTTCAATTCTTTTGAGTCCATACCCAGAAGTGGGATAGTTAGATCATTTGGTAGTTCTTTTTTAATTTTTTGAAGAACTTCAGGTTCTTCCATAGAGGTTGCAGCATTTTATAGTCCCATCAATAGCGCAGAAATGTTCTAATTTCTTCACATCCTCACAGACACTTGTTTTTTTGATAGTAGCCATTATGATGGGTGTGAGCTAATATCTTACTGTTTTGATTTACATTTATCTGATGATTAGTGATGTTGAGCATCTTTTTATATGCTTATTGGTCATTTGTATATCATTGGAGAAATATCTATTCAAGTCTTTTGCTCACTTTTTAATAGGATTTTATTTTTTGTTGTTGAGTTGTAGGAGTCCCTATATATTCTGGATGTTAACCCCTTACCAGATGTATAATTTGTAAATATTTTCCCCCATTCTGTACATTGCCTTTTCACTCTGTTGATTCTGTCTCCTGTTTTGATGCAACAAAGTTAAGTTTGTTGTAATTCCATTTGTCTGTTTTTGTTGCTTATCCTTCGATGTTATATCCAATGAATCATTGCCAAATCCAGTCTTGAAACTTTCCCCCTTAGTTTTCTTCTAGGAGTTTATATTTTTAGGTCTTACATTTAGGTCTTTAATCCATTTGGAATGTTTTATGTGGTGTAGGTAAGATAAGAGTGCAACTCTATTCTTTTGCATGCGGATATCCTTTCCCCAGCACCATTTGTTATAAAAACTGTCCTTTTTCCATTGTGTGGTCTTGGCACCCTTGTTGAACATCGTTTGCCCATACATGTGAGGGTTTATTTCTGAGCTTTCTATTTTATTGCATTACCTATATGTCTATCTTTATGCCAGTGCCATACTGTTTTGATTACTGTACCTTTAAGTGTGAGACCTCCAACTTTGTTCTTTTTTGAGATTGTTTTGGCTATTTGAGGTCCTTTGAGATTATAATTGTAGGATAAATTTTTCTATCTCTGCAAAAAATGCCATTGTGACTTTTATAGGGATTATATTGAATCTGTAGATTGCTTTTGGTAGTTGTAACTCTTAACATTATTAAGTCTTCTAATCTATGAGCTTGGGATCCTTCTATGTACTGTGTCTTTAATTTTTTTAACAGTGTTTTATAGGATCCAGTGTATAAATTTTTCATCTTGGTTAAAGTTTATTCCTAAGTATTTTATTCTCTCTGCTGTTATTGTAAATGCAATTTTTTAAATTTTCTTTTCAGATTGTTCATTGACTAGCTACTGAAGGATAAAAATCATAAAACTTTTAAAATAAATCTGGCAAGCTCTAAAAGAGGGAGTCTTTGATGTGGTATTATAAGTCTATAAAGAAAAACATGTTCTGGATTGCAGCAAAGTAGAGAAAGATATGGAAGAAAGGGGAGGAGATATAAAGCAGTTGAAGAGAAATGGACAAGGGAGGATGGTTTAGGTTCTCAATTGAGTATTAGAATGTAATCTACTTTTGATCTATTTGAATCATGAGCTTCAGAATACGTATTTTTTTCCTTTTAAAATACTTCTTCAGGAGGTACCAGAGAGTTAGGCATTTATAAACTTTGTCTTCAGTCTTTATACTTTTTGTCTTTACTGCTATAAACTTATTCTAATTAGATATAGTAGTCAAATGAGATTTTGTTTTTTCTTCTCTTACCACTGTATAAAGCTAGAAATTAGAAGATTCCATTATTCTGGTCCTGGTTCTGTTGTTAACTGGCTTTATGAACCTAGGAAGTCACTTGCCTTCTGTGAGCCTCAGTTTACTCATCTGCCAAATCTTGGAGCTGAACAAAATGACCTATATGAAAATATTCTGTATTTCTTTGAAATCAGTTTTGCCCTAAGTATGGCAGTGGTTTTCCATGTTAAAAAACAAACACAACTATGCTTTTGAAATTTATATTACCATATATTCTCCTAAATATCAAGTTAGCACAGAAATTATTTTGCACAATCTGTCATTCTAACTTACTTGCTGCTATTTGAGATTTTAGGGACTGTTTGCAGTTCTCCTGTTAAGATTGTCATCAGTTTTTTTAAATACTTGGCACCTGTAAATAATTTTTTGCATGATCTTCAGAGTTCATTGATTATGAATTATTGTGGGAGTATTTGAAATAATTCCCAGACTTTGTATCAGAGTTTCCTTTTGAGAGAACTATTGTATTAGGAAACTAAAGCTGTTTTTTCAAGTGTGTGATTTATTTATAGCTAGGATAGCTTTATTTTAACTTTAAAGTTTTTATTTAAAACCTTTACACATTTTGCTTTTATAGTGAACTGAGCTATGAAAAGATACAATTGAACCTAATAGGATCATGTGATATTGAAGAAAGAAAAGTAATGCCATGTATATGTAAGACATATAGTCAGAGGTACCAGAGAGTTAGGCATTTATAAACATTGTTTTCAGTCTTTATACTTTTTGGTTTAGTTTAATGTAAAGATTATAGAGTAGCAGGTACAAAGGTCTAGTTATCAAGAAAAAGATGAAATTTGGCATAGCTTATATGGTCATGGTTTAATATTGAGGAGCATTAATCATACTATCTTATAGACACTAGAGGGTAGCAAAGAATAAAGAAGGGAAGAGAATCTCTCATTTTTCATCTTCTAATGTGCAAATTACATACTAGACATATCTTCCAGTATGTTCATAAGTAGTGAAATTGTGTGTTTTATTTAAAGGGCATTTAAAGTTTTATTACTAAAAGCCTTCCAAAGGTTTCAAGTTGGCCATCACCAAATAAATTTTTCAATATGATTTTCATCATGGTAAAGAAAACTTTAGGGAAAAATTTAAACTTGTATTTGTTAAAATTTAAATTCTTCACAAATAGAAAAAAAATGAAGTTCTTATTTTTAGTGGATCAAATGAGCACTAGGAAATTAAAAGAATAAAATGTATGATGCTTAAGTGGTACTTAAGCAAATGTTGAGGTTTATTGATTGATGTTTAAAAAAAACAGCAGAAGTTCTAGCAGACTCCCCCCACCTTTTAATTTATTTTTGTCTTAATTTGTTCTAAAACACTTATTAAAGCAAGATAGACTTCAATCATTAGTACTGAAACACAATTTTAGTTGAATCTCATTTCCTAGAGTATCCAAACATCCTTTTGTGATTGTCTATATAGTATGTAATGCCCTAGTACTGCAAATTTCTAAGGATGCTAACTCCTGGTATTCAAGAATAAATGCAGCGGGGAGAGGGGAGTGTAAGAATGGAGTAGTATAATTTTAATAACATTGACTATTAGAATTTAATGTGAAATGATTTTATCATCAAGAAGTTAATTCATCTCATTCTAAATGGTACTCTCAGGGGCAAAAAGTATTTAATGCAATTTTTAAATGTTAGCTATATAATATCATTTTACTTATAAGGTCAAGTATTTTGTTATTACCATGTAACAGTAATAGTTGATTGCAAAGAAGGGTTGGGGTAGTTCCTGTGCTTTAAAAAAAATATTCCTCTTAAGTATTATATTGCAAACGAATTATTACCAAATGTTAATGGGTAGTTTCTATGCTTTTAAAAAATATACTCCTTATAAGTATTTTATTGCAAATGAATTATTACCAAATGTTAATGGGTAGTTCCTATGCTTTTAAAAAAATACTCCTTATAAGTATTTTATTGCAAATGAATTATTACTAAATATTAATAATATATTATGTCTTGTTTTTTAAAGTGAATGAATTTTTAGCTTTTGAGGGTCCCATCTTGTTGGATATGAGAATTAAACATCTAATCAAAACAAATCAGTTAAGTCAAGCAACTGCTCTAGCAAAGCTGTGTTCTGACCATCCAGAGATTGGTACAAAAGGTAGTTTTAAGCAAACTTACCTTGTCTGTCTTTGCACATCATCACCAAATGAAAAGTTAATCGAAGAGGTGAGTATATTTTCTTCTGTTAGTAATTCTTTTTTAAACTGAAGAAACTTTTAAGTTAGATTAGAATGCTTTGACTTCCCTTTCTCTTAGTGAGGGACCATTGTTAATCTTATTTTTGGTATGCTCTTGGATAGTGATTCTAAACAACTTTCAGAATTATAATGTAAAGTAATTTTATCTAGCTTCTGTTTTAAATAATTTGGATCTTTTAACTGCTTTGGCTGAAGTATGGGAAAGGTAGTGGTGACTTAACAGTTTAATAGAATGTTTATTATTTGTCAGCATTTGGGCCTTAACGTAGTTTTACCTGACTTCCAGATATTTGCAGATCTTTTTAACTGACTAATTTAAATAACTTTATAGAATTTATATGACTTCCCCCAGGAGTACTTTTTCTGTTTTTAATGTGTATAAAAAACATTTCATTTAATATTATATGTCTCATGAGAGCTAGATGTCTATATCTCTTCCTAATTATATGTAAAAATAAATTTTATATTTGCATATTAATGTAAAATACTTTCTTTGTGACACATGACTTTTTTTCCTTTTTCACGTAAAGCATAGTATTCATGTATTTTTATGTTTTACATTAAAGAATTCTGAGAGTAGAATCATGGTTCAAATGGAAATTTTGCATTTTGGGTGACTCTTAATTCCAAAGTGAAGTTGAAGGCAGTTGTCAGGGAATTAAATGTTGTTGTTCAAGAAATAGGGAATATGTATTGAAAGGATATGTATTTATATAAAACTAACATGTTAGACAGTATTGTGTGAGAATATAATGTGTACAAGTGTCTTGTATCTCTAATATAGGTATCCTTTAGCTCCAGAACAAAAGAGAGGAGAACAAAGGGATTGTGGGACAAACTTAAAGATATATAAATGGAAAAGTTGATATTTAAGACAGGGGACATTTAACAGAATATGCATGATCAGCTGAGTAGACAAAGATTTCAAACAGAAAGCTGAATGCCCATATGCAGTTAGAGGTTGTATTTGTAATGGACCAAGATTAGATGTAAGTCTGTTGTGTATAGCAAGGATAATGAGGATACTGAGAAGAGTGATGTCAGGCAATTTCTGAGCTGGATGGAGTAGAGCAAAGGGTTCTAGCTTAGGAAATTATACCATTAATTTCAACATTGGCTCATCTATAGATTTTTTTGTGCTATTTTTATCTCAGGTAATTGGCTTTTTAATCACTGTATAGCAGAACGAAATAGAAGATTGAAGTTTTCTTATTAGTTCAGAATAACTATGTAGACAAGTTAATATGCTGAAGTATAAAGTTTCTTGAGAATGTCTTTGATATGCGTGTAACTTTTTTTAAATTCTTAAATTAGTTATTATGCTGCTACATAAAGCTTTTATCTGTTCAGTCCCTGCCCTAAGTCATTCTGTCTATTGGTCCTTCCTTCCTGTAGCAATTTTTATTTAGTGAATGATGTGTGCTAAGCACCGGGATGTGGGAAAGCAGGGGGAGGGGAGAGTTAAAGGTGAGTAAGGCATAGGCTCTGCCCTAAAGAGCATCCCATCCCTTCTAGCAGAAAACTATCTAAACATAGGGCTGTTGGGTTAGCTTTGAAGTCCTATTTGAAGTTGAAGACTATGAATTTGTAATCTCCGGGAAAATAATTTTGTATTTTTAGCTGTTTTAAATTTAAAAATTATGCAATACTGAACCTAAATTAAATTCCCTTTTGGTTTAATTATTCTGAGTTGAGTAGCAGCAGCTCAGCCTACTCTGGGAGACCCTAAAGAAAATTCTCTATGTGGACTCTGGGTAGTTCTGATGTCAGATGAAATGATTTTATTTTTCCTTCTCCTGTTAAGCAGGAAGAATTAAGACATTCCATATTCTTTTTTTAAAAAATATATTTTTATTGATTTCAGAGAGGGAGGTAGATGGAGAGAAAAATAGAAACATCAATGATGAGAGAGAATCATTGATCAGCTGCCTCCTTCCTGCACACACCACACTGGGGCTCGAGCCCACAACCCATGCATGTGCCCTGACTGGGAGTCAAACCATGACCTCCTGGTTCATAGGTTGACGCTCAACCACTGAGCCACGCCGGCCGGGCCATTTCATGTTCTTGAACAGAATTCACTAAAGTCTCTGTACCCTACCCCAAAAACAAAACTAGGTCACATAATACAGGACAGAATTTCTGTGTAAGTCTACACATTTTCTTGTTAAAAGTCTCTTTTTGCTTAGAGATTGATTGATTATTCTTTTATATTTCTGTTACAAACATAGAAACTTTTTCTTCATTGTTTTATGTGAAGTAAATTTTCTTACTATTTCTGCCCCAAGTAAAGGTAGTCACTTTGGAACAATTGTTCCCATCAGAATAGGTATGCTTGCTCTCTCACATGACCTACTTCATTCATTTACTTTACCTGTCTGGTTTTTGTAAGCATTTGAGTTTTTTACCCATTCCTTAGAGTATGGTAGAAATAGATATTGGAAAGACTCAACTATACCTTGGATCTGTAATCCTTTTGCAGAAATCCTTATCGAATTGAGCCAGTAGGCAAGGGATTGACTATCTTCAAGGACTTTTTCAATGTGATAAAAATAGCAGCTAGCCCTGGCAGAGGAGTTGCTGCTGAGGGAAATTAGTATCTATCTGGCATCTCTAGAAGGAATGAGTTTTGGCCTGGTTTCTTGGGTTAGGTATAAAAACAAAGTTAGCAGTGTTCATTTTAAATCCAGTATTTTATTGTTTTTTTTCTTGTTAAAGTTAACATAGAAATTTGAATAGTAAAATCCTCTATCTTGTGTCTTTCTAGCCAACTTTTCCTCAGTTAATACTCCCCGAAGTAATCACTAAGTTTGAAATTTGATATATAACCTTTCTGACATTTTTCTTTGTGTATATGTATACTTATTATATACTTTACATATTAAAACATACATATAAACACCCTGGATGCTAGTCACTTTTCACATCTTATTATGGACATCTTTCCATGTTATTCCATATAGATTAATCTATTTTTTCTCATGGCTGCATAATTTCATATTACGGATTTGTAGTATATTTAAGGCATGGAGAACATTTAAATTGTTGGCTTGTACATACAACCTTTCATTCTTGTCGGGGGTGTACTGGTAGGGTAAATTTCTGGAAGTGATTAATTGCTGGATCAAAGCATCTACACATTTTAAATTAATACACAACCATGCTGTCATCCAAAAAAAGATTATGCTAATTTATTCTCCCGTAAGTAGTATATGAAATTTCTTCTTTCCTAATACTAGAAGGTTATCCATCTTTTAAATCTTTGCTAGCCTGAGAGTTAAAAAAATAAAAAATAGGAGCTCATTTTTTGATTTTTATGTTTTCTTAGTATGACAGGTTTATCATTTAACTTCCTTTATGGATGGAAAACAATTTTATTTTGATAAGTAAAGGACTATTTTTGAAATGTAATTAGAGCAAATACATTTTAAAAGTACACTTGGTAAAAGTAGATAATAAAGTATTGATGAAGTGTTGTGTATTTTTTGAATACCTGGCATAAAGAGCCATATTAAAACAAAAATTGTTCACATTTTTTAAATGATTTTTTTGCTATATAAACAGATTTAACATGGTATGTCTTTAACAAACTTCAATCTAATTGGCTTTAAGTATTTTATTCAAAATTCTAAATTTCCTGGTATTTAAATTTTTGCTCACTTTAGAAAAATATATTTTTACTGATTTCAGAGAGGAAGAAAGAGGGAGAGAGAGATAGAAACATCAGTGATGAGAGAGAATCATTGATTGGCTTCCTCCTGCATGCCCCCTACTGGGATTGGGCCTGCAACCTGTGCATATGCTTTGACCAAGAATTGAACCAGTGACCTCTTGGTTCCTGGGTTAATGCTCAATCACTGAGCCACACCTGGCCAGGCAACTTTTTGCTCACTTTTCAAAGCAGTAGAGAAGAGTTGGTAATCTCTACTTTGGATTTAAAAAATAATTCTTAGACATTGATGGCTATATTTGACATGTATTTCACCACAGTTTTAACTCAACCATTCATTAATTTAAATATGGTTTCATTTCCCCTGCCAGTCTCTTTAGTGTCACATTTTTAAAATAGGGCCATGTAGTGGCAAATCAGGGATTTAATAAAAGCTATCAAGTACACAGTACAAATTGTTTTCTTAGTATACCTATAAAAAGTGATGTTTTTCTATATTATTGAATATAGCAAATGATTCAGTTGGTATATTGTATATCTACTTATATAAAAACCATGGGTGGTGTTCATCACAACCATCAGAATCGCGACCAAGGGGAAGGAAGTCAGTCCTGCAGGGGTTGTCTTGGCAACGGCTGCTCCCGCCCCCGAGCTGTTTTCCGGTGAAGGCGGGGTTTGAAGCAGGAACTCGCCCTGGGAGCATGGACCCACTGAATCCTGGGTCACATTGCCAAGGGCTGCTCCCTCCCCAGCTGTTTCCCAGAGCTGTTTGGGTATAACATCAAGCCAGAAGCTCAACCAAGCAGAAGTCAGTCAGTCCTACAGGGGTTTCTTGGCAACGGCTGTGCCCTCCCCCGAGCTGTTTCCTGGAGCTGTTTCCAGTGAGGGCGGCGTTTGAGGCAGGAACCTGCCCTCGGAGCGTGGATCCACTGAATCCTGGGTCGCCCAGCAGCAGTCAGTCCTGGGTTACTGAGGTGGAGACCACGGCGTGGTAGAACTCTGGGTCTGGCTCAACAAGGGGCATGGCCGACCTTCAAACCAGACCCTGACAGTAGAAAGGAGGGAGCCCCATTCCTCACAGAATACGTTGTTGGATAGCTTGCTGTCAGTGGCCTGCCAGCCAGGAACCCCATTCTCCTGCACCCCAGACCCTGACGGGAGGGAGGAGGGAGCTCCTTTCCTTACGGAATCAACAGGTGGCCAGTTTGCTGTCAGGGGCCTGCCAGCTAGCAATCCTATTCACCTGCACCTTGGCCCCTGACAGCAGGGAGGAGAGAATATGTTTCAAGACTAACTATAGGAACAAAGTACCTCTGAAGCCAAAAGAAGCCATTGTTGGCAACAGAATAGAGTTAGAAACATCAATGAGAGAGAAACATCGATCAGCTGCCTCCTGCACACTCCCCAATGGGGATGTGCCCGCAACCAAGGTACATGCCCTTGGCCAGAATCGAACCCGGGACCCTTGATTCCACAGGCCGATGCTTCATCCACTGAGCCAAACCAGTTAGGGCAATTAATTCCCTTTTAATGTGCATGAATTTCGTGCACTGGGCTACTAGTATGACAAATATGTAGAGGCTATCTTAAATATATACAAGTATATGTTAAATTACTAAGTGTAAGCTAATGCAGGTAATATCATTAGGAAAATAAATTTATTTCCTTATATATAATGTACACATTTTACATCATTTGAACATTTAGCAAGAATGGCTTAGGTTTTAGAACAGCGGTTCTCAACCTGTGGGTCGCCAACCTGTGGGTCGTGACCCCTTTGGGGGTCGAACGACCCTTTCACAGGGGTTGCCTAAGACCATCGGGAAACACATATATAATTACATATTGTTTTTGTGATTAATCACTATGCTTTCATTACAGTGGGGCCTTGACTTACGAGTTTAATTCCTTCCGAGACCGAGCTCGTTAAGGAGCTCATTAACTCAAATTACTCTATCAACTCAGTGCAAAAAATCAGCCGAGAGACAGCTGGTATCTCAAAAAACTCGTTAGTCGGGACACTCGTAAGTCAAGGCCCCACTGTATGTTCAATTTGTAACAATGAAAATACATTCTGCATATCAGCTATTTACATTACAATTCATAACAGTAGCAAAATTACAGTTATGAAGTAGCAACGAAAATAATTTTATGGTTGCGGAGTCACCACAACATGAGGAACTATTAAAGGGTCGCGGCATTAGGAAGGTTGAGAACTACTGTTTTAGAAGATTAAAAAGAAATACTCAGAATTAAAGTAAATCAGAGTTTTAAGATAAAAGAATTGTTGTTAAACCTGAAAATGTAAAAATCAATATTTAGCAATAAAGGGCCTCATTGTGCTTGTGCCTGTGGAATTCTGGCAAGTGCAGAGACTTTGAAACTAGACCTGGATTGAAATCTTGATTCTGCCACTAATTAAGCATGTACCTTTGAGCAAGTAACTTTACCTCTCTGAACCTTATCTCTAAAATGAAGTTGTAGTATCTACCAGGCAAACTACTGTGCTGACTAGCAATGCTGTTTAAGAAGCTGGCATTAATAAATGAATAGTATCTGTTATTATTGTTATTGCCATCTTATGAAAAAGTAAAAACAAAACAAAAAAACAACCACACACACACAAAAACACAGCTCATGGGTTGATTTCCTAACATTTGTCTTAGAGCAAATGCTTGTGGAAATCATAGGTAAATTTTGTTTGTTTTATGTAGTAAATCATTGTAATGAGGTAGTAAATTTTAATTTAAGAAGCAATAGATTTAAGTACATAATTAAATGAAGCAAGTTGCCATCATCTAGGTATTATACCTTTGCATGCATGACTGTTGACAAGCTTTGAGATGGAATAATTGTATATGAAAAGAAAAATACTGGAGATTGGTAGAAAACTGAGGTGAGCTTAATTTAAAAGTGTTACATCTATATAAAATGTTTTATACTTTATTCCCTCAGATGAATAAACACTTTTTTTTATTAGTCTATATCCAGTATATCTTTCTGTATATTTCTGCTAATTCTAATGCTTTTTAAATTATTGGATAAAGGGGTAAAATACAAATACTGCAGCTTTACTTTCTCAGTATCATAAATGTGATTTAATGGGTAGAGAGAGTGCTTATAATTAGCATTAGTTATTTATATATAAATGCATGCTTGTAAAGTTCTTGAAAATAGTTGGTTTTCTGGCTTGAAGAAAGATTATTTCTTTAAACTCTAGCCTAGAAATGACAAATTACGAATTGATAGTGGTTGAGTTAATGCGGTTTTACTGATGAAAATTATCTGTAAATGTTTAATGAAAATTTGCAAGTATGTTACTATATATCTTAATATAATACCATTTTATGACATATTTCTATATCCTTTTTCTAGATTTCAGAAGTTGATTGCAAAGATGCACTAGAAATGATCTGTAACTTAGAATCTGAGGGTGATGAAAAAAGTGCCCTTGTTTTATGTACTGCATTTTTGTCACGTCAGCTCCAACAAGGAGAAATGTATTGTGCTTGGTGAGTTGCTTTTCTTTTGTAAAGAGAAGTTTGTTAAGTAAGAATACAAGATAGGTTGTGAGAATTCAGATAATTTAAGAGCATATTTTTAAAAATCTTTTTAAGTCTTATCAAGACGAAAAGCTTATTTTCAGATACTGTGTGCTGTTTAAACTGATTATCAAGTAGTTCATACTATAACTTCAAAAACTTTTTGTATTAAGGACCACACAACTCCTTAATATACCAGTAATGATCACATAATGATCCATATTGATGAGAAAATTTTTAATGTTGAAAAATGAAAGAAAGGTTTATTTTGTCTAGTGCCACAATAAATAATTCCTCACATATTTATACAGCCTATGATCGAATGTATCTATTTTTTTCCTCTGCATATTGCACACTTTGAACTCTATGAAACTGTTAGTCATTTATGTATGGAAATATAGTTCTTTTTTTTTTTTTCTATGAGAGCTCATTTTATATCACTGACTGCTTCAATGCACATTTCTTTATATATGGTACATTTCCAAGTGGGCAAAGGCTGTTATATTTAGTCATTGGGAAGGGGGGAGGGAAAGATACAGCAACAGAAAACTTAACTTCAGTTAACTCAAAAAACTTTAAGATCAGCTATCATAAATTAGTGCTAAAATTGACCATTTATCTGGTCAGTCAACAGCATTGATAATCTTTATTGTTGTTTTGCTATTATAGGAATAAAAAAGAAAATTTAGTTTATAGAATTCTGACATTTACGAATGTGTTCCAAGTGACACATGGCATACAAATAAGTATAGAGCAGGCAAGTTAAATAAATGGTTGTGTAATCAAAGATTTATAATGCATAATTATAAAGGTTTTCTGAGCAGTTGAGCTTTGTTATGAAGGAAAATTATATATGCAATATAGAGAAAATTAATATAAAAGTCAGGTAGAAAGATTCTGAAGAGAATAGATGACATGTATTTATTGAGGACAAGTAAATTTTCTATATAACAAGTATCAGTGATGACTAATAAATTAATGTATTATATTGGTTTTCTAAATTATCTAAGGTTATATATGAAAAGTGAAAGCAGTCTTATTATAAGACCTAAAGTAGAAGTAGGACAAAACAGAAGTTTTTGTTTAGAAGCACTGTTTAAGACAAGCAGTTGAGAATGGCTTGGGAGCTGAATGGTGAGGGCAGAGTTGGGGAGAATGAAATCCTATATAATAAAGTGGCGATATGCAAATTGACCCTCATACCATAACGCCACCACAAGAAGGCTGCGCGCACAGTGGGGGCAGTGCCAGCGGCCGCTTCACGTGGCTACTGCCAGGGTTTCTGCAGTCCCGCGCGTGCCATGGAGGTAGGGCCCGGCGGCTGCTGTGCATGGGGGCGGGGGGGGGCGGGGTCCTGGGTCACACACAATTTCACGCTACAGGTCACTAGTAGCAGTATAATAGTCCAGCTGGGAGGCTATGAAGGCTTCCTTATAGATGTAGGATGTAGTGAAAGAAACATAAGGTAACAGTCTTGGGGATAGTAAAAAGCAGAGGCTGATAGGGTCAGTGATAATGATGCATTAAGTTAGAAAGATGGTGAACTGTAAAGAATGTTAATCATCTTTTTCATATATTAAGTTTCAGGTTTCAGAAGAGATCAAAGTGGAGAAGTCTTATAAAGAAATAGGTGAAAGTGTTAAAGACTGGAGAGACAGATTTTGAAGTCCTCAATATATAGTTTAAAATCCAGAAATGAGCAAGTTATTCAAGTGGGTGGTGAAAAGATCAGAGTTCCTAGGAGTGGAAACTGAGGAAATGCTAATAGGAAGGCCTGTATTGAGGAGAATACTTGGTGAAAGAAGATTTTTGTGGAAGTTAACCATGGAGGAGAGAAGAGAAATAGAATGATAGGTAAAAGGGAGAAAAATTCACAACTTCAGTAAGATTATTTTCTATGAAAAATACATTGTAATTGCATTTGAATATATTTCAAAGTTCATTTTTTAAAATTTCTATTTTTTTTCACTGCTGAGACACAGGATAGTTAATTATTTCCAGGTTCTGTGTCATAGATTCTTAACATTTATCTAATGATAATTTATTTGAAATTTAATTGACCAATTAAATGGGTCCATTTTAAATTTAAGGTAAAAGATAAAAATTAAATGCCTTTTAAAAACCATTATACCATCAGTGCATTATATATATATACATATACACATACATATACACTAGAGGCCTGGTGCACGAAAATCATGCACTCGGGGGTGGGGGTCCCTCAGCTCGCCCTGTGCCCTCTCCCAGTCCAGGAGCCCTCAGGGGATGTCCGACTGATGGCTTAGGCTGTGCTCGTCAGCCGTGAGCCCAGCTTCTGGCTGAGCACCACTCCCTCTATGGGAGCGCACTGACCACTAGGGGGCAGCTCCTGTGTTGAGCGTCTGCCCCCTGATGGTCATTGCATGTCATAGTGACCGGTCGTTCTGGCCTTTGGTCGATTTGCATATTAGGGTTTTATTATATACTAGAGGCCTGATGCACGAAATGCTGCAAGGGGCTCATCCCCTGCCGCCATGGCGGCTACCTCCTCTGCCTCGGCCCCAGCCGCCATGGCTTCGTCCAGAAGGGCGTCTGGTCTAATTAGCATATTATGCTTTTATGATTATATATTATTTGCATATTAGGGTACACACATTTTGTATTTCTTACTAAAATTCAGATGTGGCTCAAAATTACCATTTATTTAAATTATTTAAATGTCAGGTACTTTCCTAGTAAAAGGCAGTGCTTTTCTCTCTGAGATTGAAAAATAATAATAAGATGGTAAAGTATATCCTGATTTTATTTAGTCTTAGAAATTTGAGATTTTTATTTTGCTTTTAATAAGCTTGCTTATACCTGTAGAATTCAAATGTAAAATCAGTTTTAATTTCAAGTGTAATGACTGCATTGTCATAGTCTAAGTTTATTACCTTATTGCTCCAACTTATTTTTATACATTTTTAGGGAACTCACTCTCTTTTGGAGTAAATTACAGCAGAGAGTAGAACCATCTGTACATGTGTACCTGGAAAGATGTCGTCAACTTTCTTTGTTAACCAAGACAGTATATCACATTTTCTTCCTGATTAAAGTTATTAATTCAGAGGTAAGAATAATCAAGGTATCTTTTCTTAATTCAAAATACATAAATTATCTTTAATAAGAGTCTTATTTTGGCACCTTTTCCACTGACTTTTATTTCATTTAATGCTTTTGAACATTGATTTTTTTATAGTCCTTTAAAACATTTGATGCAGAGAAACTTAAAAATGCAAATGAGAGCCAGGAGTTTGCTCTTAGCCTGTAGAAAAGTAACATATTTAATATTTGTAGTTTACCATTCTATAATTTTCACTCGTAGGTGTCATTCTATTTTGATAATTTGCCACTATAGAAATGTAGAGATTATAAAGAGAAATACACAGTTGGCTTCCTTTGCCAGCCATCTGGCAGATCACACGATCTAAAAATCCTTCTTCTACAGAACACCCAGAAATACTTGATAAAATAAACCAATTTTTTTTAATGTATAATAACTGAGATTGCAAGGATTAGGGAGATCCCCAGGCTCAAAATGAAGAAGAACCTGTAAAGTGGAGCAGAGAGCTTGAGCTGATAGTGAACCTCTCCTTCCTGGTGGATATTGAGATGTAAGGGGTTTGAGTTTTAATATTTACATGGGGACAGAAGAGCCATATGAGGATAGGAGATAAGATCTTGGCTCTCTCAAGTTGGAGAGTTAGAGCTAAGTTCTATGTCTCTCTTCCCTCCTCCGCCAACCTGTAAAGTACTATAATTTAATTGAAAAGTAGATTAGAAAAATATTACTAACACAGATGGATGATAGGGAACCTTATGCATGTCCAACTGCGCTGCGAGGCAGAGGACAAAATGTTTCCTCTAAGAAGTTATAACCATTAGTCTACCCCCACACAGATGTGGAGTCCAACAATAAAAAATATATATTAAAAAAAAAATCAATGGGAAAAATACCTTGGATGAGGATTAACAAAAAACAACACATACACACGAAACAACTTTGTTATAAATAAAGTTGAAATCTTAACGCCAACAAAACAATAAACTACCAAAATTTTTATTCTTCTGCATATTTAACTTCTATGAGTAATTAAAAATTAAGTTTATAAGTAATATTCATATCATAAACTGATTATATAAGAAGTGTTTTTAAAGTTAAGTTTGAAATCACAGTTTCCCATAAGTACATGTAATTAAATAATTAGTCCATAAGAATTTACTTAATAACCTCATTTGATAAAAGTACTGATAGCACCAGCTTAATTATGAGCCATAGAACAGAAAGCTAAGTGATACCAATTTAAAGGAGGAATAGAGACAAATGGCCCTTCCTGGCACTGGTATAGCAGCAGGCAAGCTTCTAAAAAAAATGCAAGGTTTTATATTTGTAATCCCACTCTTTTCTGTTCCTTTCCTCTGGCTGGCTAGTATCCTTGACTCAAAGCTACCCAAGGCTTACATGCTGATATCAGTTCCCCATGTACATCCCTGTAATCCTTTCCTAGCCTTCCACAGCATTATATCTTATCCTGCTTCAAAATTCTTAAATGGTTACCTATGTATTTCAAAATTAAAAATAACTAAGCATGGAATACAAAAGGGTCTTCACAATCTAACCTGTGTGTCATCTCATCTAGCTTCATCTTTTTACCTTTCCCCCTACCCAAATAGCCTACAATTCCAGGCAAACTGACCTCATCTCTCCCCACCCCTCCATATGATAAAATAGGAGTGACCTAATTGTCTACTATTATGAGTAGCCCCTAAGGCAGCGATTCTCAACCTGTAGGTCGAGACCCCTTTGGCGGCCGAACGACCCTTTCACAGGGGTCACCTAAGACCATCCTGCATATCAGATATTTACATTACAATTCATAACAGTAGCAACATCACAGTTATGAATTAGCAACGAAAATAATTTTATGGTTGGGTCACAACATGAGGAACTGTATTTAAAGGGCCAGAAGGTTGAGAACCACTGCCTAAGGTAACAACGATGCAAACGTTTTTACTGTAAAAGTTTTCTGGCTCAAATCTATCTCAAAGTAGTATAAAATAATGATTCAATTTTATGTGAAAGCCAGAGACAACCATATGGTTCCACCTCTTTCCCAATTGTTCTTTCTTCACTATCACTTATAAAAATGGGTTTTATGTTCTTATTTTGTCCATTTTTTTTTTGTTTGTTTTCTTCTTCGTCTTCGTGCCCTTCCTTTTCTTGAAATTAAGTCCAGTTCAGTATACCAGCCTCCTTTCCTCACTCTTCTTTTTGGCTCACAAATCTAAGCTTCTGTTTATTAAAATATTTAATTTTCTTCATAATCTGTGAAAATACAGACCCTGTCAGGTATTTTGACTTCTTTTCTTTCTTGCCTTTTCATCTGATACAACACATATTTCATTCTCATAAATGTGGCCACATATTTTGGCTGGCTTGTTTTTTATATATATACTAGAGGCCCGGTGCACAAAAATTTGTGCACTCGGGGGGGAAGGGGGGGCCCCTCAGCCCGGCCTGTGCCCTCTCGCAGTCTGGGACCCCTCGGGAGATAACGACCTGCTGGCTTAGGCCTGCTCCCGGTTGGCAGAGGGCAGGCCCAATCCCTAGATGCAGCCCCTGGTCAGGCTCAGAGCAGGGCTGATTGGGGAGTTGGGGCGCTGCCCCCTATCATGCACAGAGCAGGGCGGATTGGGAGGTTGCGATGCCACCCTCAGTCACGCTCAGGGTAGGGCTGATTGGGGGGTTGGGGCACCACCTCCTATCACACTCAAGGCAGGGTCAATGGGGAGGTTTCGGCACCACCCCCTGTGATGCACAGAGCAGGGCCAATCAGGGGGTTGGGGCGCTGCCCCCTGTCACTCACAGAGCAGGGCCAATCAGGGGGTTGGGGCACTGCCCCCTGTCACGCACAGAGTAGGGCCGATAGGGGAGTTAGGGCACCGCCCCCTGTCACACACACAGCAGGGCAGATCAGGGGGTTGGTGCACCGCCCTCTATCACCCACAGAGCAGAGCCGATCAGGGGGTTGGGGCGCCGCCACTGTCACACACAGGGCAGGGCCGATGGGGAGGTTATGGCTCTACCCCGTCACACACAGAGCAGGGCCCGTGGGGGGGGGGGGGCGGTTGGGGCGCCACCCCCTGTCACACACAGAGCCGCAGGGCAATCAGGGGGTTTGGGGCGCTGCACCCTGTCATGCTGATCTGGTGCCAGGAGGCCTCGCGGCTCCGCTGATCCCGGTGCTGGGAGGCATATTACCCTTTTACTATATAGGATAGAGGCCTGGGGGCTGGCTGGTTTGTCCTGAAGGGTGTCCTGGATCAGGGTGGGGGTCCCCACTGGGGTGCCTGGCCAGCCTGGATGAGGGGATGATGGCTGTTTGCAGCTGGTCACACACCCTTCAGGGTGGGGGTCCCCACTGGGATGCCTGGCCAGTCTGGGTGAGGGGCTGAGGGCTGCTTTCAGGCTGACTGAAGCTCCCAACCGCTCCTTTTTTTCTTTTTTTTTTTCTTCTGGGCCAGCTTTAGCTCTGGCTCTAGCTCTGAGGCTTCGTATCTGGTTTGTTTGCCGTTCTATAATTGAAACAATGTATAACTTCAGCTCTGAGATCCCAGCTGGCTATATTTGTTAGAATGTTTCAAACTGCCAGCTCAGAGGCCGGCAAGTCACGGGAGCAAGCAAGCCTCACGTTCGCTTCCAGCTGCCTGGCTGCCGGCCGCCATCTTGGCTGACAGTTAATTTGCATAAGGATACGCTGATTAGCCAATGGGAAGGGTAGCGGTTGTACGCCAATTACCATGTTTCTCTTTTATTAGTGTAGATTCCCTTTTAAACCCATTTTATCTTCATGTATCTTTCAAATGACTTACATTCATTACTGCTATCCTATCTAATAATAGACAAACATGGTAATTGACCGTACCTTCACTACGCCTCCCATGGGCTAATCAGCAAGATATGCAAATTAACCACCAACAAAGATGGCAGTTAATTTGCATACGTAGGCACGAAGCCGCGGAGCGAAGACTGAAGGCGGCTCCAGCCGGAGCAGCGAAGGCTTGAAGGTGGCTTTGGCCGGAGCGGAGGCCTGGGTCCCGGGTGCCAGAGGAAAACCGGTGCTGGCAGCCAGGGGAAGGGAAGGCCTATTGCATGAATCTTTTCGTGCAACAGGCCTCTCTAGTCTTACAATAACAGTGCAAGATGCTAATTCAAAAGGGAAAAAGTTTATTATGTCTCCTTGTACTCCTAAATCTTAAGCTGATCTGGCCATGAGGTAGGTAATTTGACATTCAATTTTGTGATAGAACTAGAATCTCCACTATTAAGGATCAAATAACTTTATTCTGTTAAAAGTGAAAATCTTGTTTTATTACTCAGGAAATATGAGGACATTATTTTGTAATTGGGTTTTGTTTCAGAAGGGTTGCAAATGCAAAGTTAGGAAATGAGATTTTTAATAAAGTTTGTGCTTTTTTTTATCTCTATTTTATAAGTGGGATATGAAAGGTCAGAGAAGTTAAATAACTTCCCAGTTTGCCTAGCTATTAGATAATCTAGGCTGTCAATGCTTATGCTTTCTGTGCTATTTTGTGCAGTTCATTTTACACACACACACCATCACCAATCCAGGCTATGGTGCAGTGCTTTATAAGGAGCATCTTTTCATGCATTGGCTATTGCAAAATTTGAGAAACCTTGATTTTAAATTATTAAATTCACAAATCTGTGTTGATTAGTGTAGATTAAGTTAATATTTCCTATTTGTTTTTTCACAGACTGAAGGTGCTGGACTTGCTACCTGTATAGAACTGTGTGTAAAAGCTCTTCGCTTGGAATCTACAGAAAATACTGAAGTGAAAATATCTATTTGCAAGACCATTTCTTGTTTGTTGCCTGATGATCTGGAAGTTAAACGTGCTTGTCAACTGAGCGAATTTCTTATTGAGCCTACAGTAGATGCATATTATGCTGTGGAAATGTTATATAACCAGCCAGACCAGAAATATGATGAAGAGAATCTTCCAATACCAAATTCTCTGCGCTGTGAGCTCTTACTTGTATTAAAAACTCAGTGGCCCTTTGATCCAGAATTCTGGGACTGGAAAACCTTAAAGCGACAGTGTCTTGCATTAATGGGGGAAGAAGCATCCATTGTGTCTTCAATTGATGAACTAAATGACAGTGAAGTTTATGAGAAAGTAGTAGACTACCAGGAAGAGACTAAAGAAACTTCTGTGAATGGACTTTCTGGTGGAGTTGGTGCTAATTCTGGCCTTCTTTGCGATGAAAAGCAGAAGAAGAGAGAGATAAAGCAATTAAGAGAGAGAGGATTTATATCTGCTAGGTTTCGGAATTGGCAAGCCTACATGCAGTATTGTGTGCTATGTGACAAAGAATTTCTTGGTCATAGAATAGTACGACATGCTCAAAAACATTACAAAGATGGGATTTACAGTTGTCCTATATGTGCAAAGAACTTTAATTCTAAAGAAACTTTTGTCCCTCATGTCACATTGCATGTTAAACAATCTAGTAAAGAGAGACTAGCAGCTATGAAACCATTAAGAAGATTGGGAAGGCCGCCTAAGATCACAACTACCAATGATAATCAGAAGATTAATGCTGTAGCCAAGCAGGAACAGCGGCCTATAAAAAAGAATAGTCTTTATTCAACAGACTTTATAGTATTTAATGACAATGATGGTTCAGATGATGAAAATGATGACAAAGATAAGTCTTATGAGCCAGAAGTCATCCCAGTCCAGAAACCAGTACCTGTCAATGAATTTAATTGCCCTGTAACTTTTTGTAAAAAGGGCTTTAAGTACTTTAAAAATCTAATTGCTCATGTAAAGGGGCATAAAGATAATGAAGATGCCAAGCGCTTTCTTGAAATGCAAAGCAAAAAAGTTATTTGCCAGTACTGCAGACGCCATTTTGTAAGTGTTACTCATCTCAATGATCACCTACAAATGCACTGTGGCAGTAAACCATATATCTGTATACAGATGAAATGTAAGGCTGGTTTTAATAGTTACGCAGAGCTCTTAACCCACCGAAAGGAGCATCAAGTTTTTAGAGCAAAGTGTATGTTTCCTAAATGTGGCAGGATTTTTTCAGAAGCTTATTTACTATACGATCATGAAGCACAGCATTATAATACCTATACTTGTAAGTTCACAGGTTGTGGTAAAGTGTATCGTTCTCAGAGTGAGCTAGAAAAGCATCTGGATGATCATAGCACTCCTGAAAAAGCACTGCCTCCAGAAGACCAACTTAATTCTTCTGGAGCTTCTGTTCAGCTTCCCAAAGTGAATCAGAACTCAGAAGGGACAACTGATAAAGAAAGATCTATGCTTCCTTCACAAAATAACGTTGAAAATACGTTATCAACAGATAGATGTGATGCTTGGGATAAAAGCAATGAAGAATCAGCTGTGGCCAAACAAGACCATATTTCTGCTTCTGAGCTCAGGCAAGCTGATGAACCATCGTCAGATGGTTTGGAAAACCCTGCTACTACTCCTCTGCTACAGGCCAGTGAAGTGGCTGTGTCCATTAAGGTGTCCCTCAATCAGGGAATTGAGGATAACTTTGGAAAGCAAGAAAACTCAACTGTGGAAGACACTGGAGAATCACTGGTCACAAACATACATACAGTAGTTGAAGATACTTGTAATGATTTGTGTCCAAGTTTCCAGGAGAGAAAAGAACAGGATTGCTTTAATGAAGCCCAGATTACTCAGAATTCTTTAGTAAATTCAGAAATGCTCAAAATAGGTGACCTTACCCCACAAAACTTAGAAAGACAAGTGAACAACTTGATGACTTTTTCTGTGCAAAATCAGACAGGATTTCAAAACAGTTTGCCAACATCCAAACTTGAATGTGGAGGTAATGTTAAAACATCAGCCAATCTTTATAATTTACCCCTTAAGACATTGGAAAGTATCACATTTGTTCCACCACAGCCCAATCTAAGTAGTTCTTTAGGAACTCCATCAGTGCCTCCAAAAGCGCCAGTTCAGAAGTTCAGTTGCCAGGTTGAGGGATGTACTCGAACCTATAATTCTTCACAGAGTATTGGGAAGCACATGAAGACAGCACACCCTGACCAGTATGCTGCATTTAAAATGCAATGCAAAAGTAAAAAAGGCCAGAAATCTAACAACTTGAATGTACCAAATAATGGAAAGTTTGTTTATTTTTTGCCATCACAGGTGAGCAGCTCTAACAATGCATTTTTTACACCACAAACCAAAGCCAATGGGAATTCTACTTGTTCAGATCAGTTGCAGCCCGTCTCATCATCCATTTTTCCAGCTCAGTTAGCCAGTGTATCAACTCCATTGTTACCCTCAGTGGAAAGTGTCATAAATCCAAATTTAACTTCTCAGGATAAAAATGAACAGGATGGTAGTATGTTATGTTCCCAGATGGAAAATTTGTCTAATACTACCTTACCAGCACAAATGGAAGATCTAACCAAAACAGTTTTGCCTTTGAATATTGACAGTGGCTCAGATCCTTTCCTTCCTTTACCTGCAGAAAGTAGTTCAATGTCTCTCTTTCCTTCACCAGCAGATAGTGGAACTAATTCTGTTTTTTCCCAACTGGAAAACAATACAAATCATTTTTCCTCACAGATTGAAGGAAACACTAATTCCTCCTTTCTAAAAGGTAATGTTGAAAATGCAGTTTTTCCCTCACAAGTAAATGTTGCAAATGACTTCAGCAGCACCAGTACGCAACAATCTGCTCCTGAGAAAGTTAAAAAAGACCGTGGGCGAGGCCCAAATGGGAAGGAAAGAAAACCCAAGCACAACAAAAGGGCTAAGTGGCCTGCAATTATCAGAGATGGGAAATTTATCTGTAGCAGGTGTTACAGGGCTTTTACCAATCCCAGATCACTGGGTGGACACTTGTCTAAGCGATCTTATTGTAAACCTCTGGATGGAGCAGAAATTGCTCAAGAACTTCTACAGAGTAATGGACAGCCTTCTCTTCTTGCCAGCATGATTCTCTCCACAAATGCAATAAATTTGCAGCAGCCACAACAGTCTACCTTCAATCCAGAAACATGTTTTAAAGATCCATCATTCCTGCAACTTCTTGCTGCTGAAAATCGCTCTTCAACATTTTTACCAAATACATTTCCTAGGACTGGTATGACTAACTTTAATACAAGTGTTAGCCAAGAAGGAAGTGAAATTATTAAACAGGCTTTAGAAACTGCTGGCATTCCCAGTACATTTGAGGGTGCTGAAATGCTTTCTCAAGCTCCAACAGGTTGTGTCTCGGATGCAGCACAAGTAAATGCTACAGTGGTACCAAATCCAGGAGTGCCACCAACCCTGTTGCAGACTGTGTGCCACCCAAACTCCCTGCTGACAAGCCAGAATAGAACACCAAACTCCAAAACTCCCTCCATTGAGGAATGCAGCAGTTTGCCCATTTTTCCAACAAATGACTTACTACTGAAGACTGTTGAAAATGGTTTGTGCTCTAGTACATTCCCTAATTCTAGTGGGCCATCACAAAATTTTACCAGTAACAGTTCACGTGTTTCAGTTATAAGTGGTCCTCAGAACACAAGGTCCAGTCATTTAAATAAAAAGGGAAACAGTGCTTCTAAGAGAAGAAAGAAAGTTACCCCTCCGCTAATTGCACCTAATGCTTCCCAAAACTTGGTAACTAATGACTTAACAGCAATGGGACTTATAGCAAAGAGTATTGAGATACCAGCTAACCTTCATTCAAACGTAATTCCAAATTGTGAACCTCAGGCTTTGGTGGAAAATCTAACACAGAAATTAAGTAATGTGGACAATCAGTTATTTCTGACTGATGTGAAAGAAAACTTTAAAACTAATCTTGAGTCTCATACAGTGTTAGCTCCTTTACCATTAAAAACTGAAAATGGTGATTCCCAAATGATGGCTTTGAATTCATGCACTTCAATAAATTCTGATTTGCAGATTACTGAAGATAATGTTATACAAAACTTTGAAAAGACTCTTGAAATTATTAAAAGTGCTATGAATTCTCAAATACTTGAGGTAAAAAGTGGATCTCAGGGTGTTGGTGAAACATCACAGAATGCTCAAATAAATTATAACATTCAACTTCCTTCAGTAAACACTGTACAAAATAACAAATTACCTGACTCTTCTCAGTTTTCCTCCTTCGTAGGTGTTGTGCCGACAAAGAGTAACATTCCTCAGTCTGAAGTATTCCATAAGGAGGATCAAATACAGGAAATTTTAGAAGGCTTACAGAAATTAAAATTAGAAAATGACCTATCCGCTCCAGCATCCCAATGTGTACTAATAAATACATCAGTGACACTGACTCCTGCTCCTGTTAAAGCAATTCCAAATGTTACAGTCGTTCAGCCAGTTTCTGAAATGATAAATATTCAGTTTATTGACAAAGTTAATAAACCCTTTGTGTGTCAAAACCAAGGCTGTAATTACAGTGCAATGACAAAGGATGCACTGTTTAAGCACTACGGTAAAATTCATCAGTACACTCCAGAGATGATACTTGAAATTAAGAAGAATCAGTTGAAATTTGCTCCATTTAAATGTGTAGTACCTACCTGCACAAAAACATTTACAAGAAATTCTAACCTCCGGGCGCACTGTCAGTTGGTACATCATTTTACAACAGAGGAAATGGTAAAGTTAAAAATAAAAAGACCTTATGGGAGAAAATCTCAGAATGAAAGTTTGTCAGTCTCACGAATAACACAAGTAAAAAGACAGCTATCTATGATAGAGGAAAATAAAAGGGAATTTCAGTCTGCTATGGAATTGGGAGCAATGAAGGAAAATGCCTTCAGTAATATAGCAGTGATTCCAGAAAATCAACTTATAGAAAAAAAAAGTTCTGAAAAAACAGAAAGTTCTTCGCAAGTGAGTACAGTTACTTCAGAACAGTGTAATACAAATTCTCTCACAAACATACAAACCAAAGGACGGAAAATCAGGAGACATAAAAAAGAAAAGGAGGAGAAAAAACGCAAGAAGCCAGTTTCTCAGTCCCTTGAGTTTCCAACAAGATACAGTCCTTACAGACCTTATCGATGTGTTCATCAGGGTTGCTTTGCTGCCTTTACAATACAGCAAAACTTAATACTGCATTACCAGGCTGTACACAAATCAGATCTACCTGCATTTTCTGCAGAGGTTGAAGAGGAAAGTGAAACTGGTAAAGAAAGTGAAGAAATTGAAACTAAACAAACTGTGAAAGAATTTCGATGTCAGGTGAGTGACTGTTCTAGAATTTTCCAAGCTATTACTGGCTTAATACAACACTATATGAAACTTCATGAAATGACTCCTGAAGAAATTGAAAGTATGACTGCTTCCGTGGATGTTGGGAAATTTCCGTGTGACCAGTTAGAGTGTAAATCTTCCTTTACCACATATTTGAACTATGTTGTTCATCTTGAGGCAGACCATGGAATTGGGATAAGGGGGAGTAAAACTGAAGAAGATGGCATATACAAGTGTGATTGTGAAGGCTGTGACCGTATATATGCAACTCGGTCTAATCTCCTTCGACACATTTTTAATAAGCATAATGATAAACATAAAGCTCATTTGATTCGGCCAAGAAGATTAACATCTGGTCAGGAAAATATATCAAGCAAAGCAAACCAAGAAAAGACAAAGTCTAAATATCGGGGGACAAAACACAGATCTGGAAAGGAAGGAACCAAAATGCCTAAGATCAAACGAAGGAAAAAAAATAATTTAGAAAACAAGAATGCAAAGATTGTACAGATTGAAGAAAATAAGCCTTATTCTCTGAAACGTGGAAAGCATGTATATTCTATAAAGGCAAGAAATGATGCCTTATCTGAATGTACAAGCAAATTTGTAACCCAATATCCATGTATGATAAAGGGGTGTACATCAGTTGTTACAAGTGAAAGCAATATAATTAGACATTATAAATGCCATAAATTATCTAAAGCATTTACATCACAGCACCGCAATCTTCTTATTGTCTTCAAACAGTGTTGCAACTCACAATTAAAGGAAACCTCTCAGCAAGAAGTTGATAAGAATGATGTCAAAGAATCTGATACATGTGTATCAGAGAGCAGTGATAACTCAAGAACAACTACAGTTCTACAGAAGGAAGTTGAAAAAAATGAAAAAGATGAAATGGATGAACTAACAGAATTATTTATTACAAAACTAATAAATGAAGACAACACAAGTGTGGAGACCCAAGCTCATACATCTTCAAATGTAAATAATGATTTTCAGGAAAATAACCCCTGCCAACCAGAAAAACAAAAAGGAAGTAATTTGAAGAGAGGTAATAAAGAAAAAAATGTCTCCCAAAATAAAAAGAGGAAAGTTGAAAAGGCTGAACCAGCACCAGCAGTTGAGTTAAGTAATAAGCATAAAGAAGAAGAAACTGCTGTTGCAATTCAAACCACTGAGGAGCATCCTGCATCTTTTGACTGGAGCTCATTTAAACCAATGGGATTTGAAGTATCATTTCTGAAGTTTCTTGAGGAGTCTGCAGTGAAGCAAAAGAAAAATACTGACAAAGAGCATTCAAATAGTGGAAATAAAAAAGGATCCCATTCAAATTCAAGAAAAAATATTGACAAGACTGCTGTGAGTAGTGGAAATCATATATGTTCTCATAAAGAAAGTGAAACCTTTGTACAGTTTGCCAATCCATCACAGCTTCAGTGCAGTGATAATGTAAAGATTGTTTTAGACAAGACTCTGAAAGACTGCACCGAGCTTGTCTTAAAGCAACTTCAGGAAATGAAACCTACTGTCAGTCTGAAAAAACTTGAAGTACATTCAAATGATCGATCTGTGTCTGTTATGAAAGAAATCAGTATGGGCAAAGCCACAGGGAGAGGACAGTACTGATAACTAATGTGCTATAAATATGTCATTTAGAATTTTATTTTAAATAGCCATCAAGCATGCTAAAATTGTGAAACTTTTTCATTATTTTTTGTTATTGACATGAATTAACCTGGCCAAAAAAAAAAGGAGGAAAAAAAAAAACACACATGACATTTGTCATGTAAAACTTTTTTTATCCCTATGGGACTTGAAGAACAGAATCAAAACTTAAGTTATTGTAAATATTGAGCTAAACCTCAAATTTCTATGAACCAATTGTCCTTTTCATGAACTAAAATGAATTATCTATGAGATTGATTTGTTTCACCAATCACTGCTCATGTATAACAGTACTCTTTGTAGATATCTTTTTTGTATATATTTATTATTGTAAATCATTTGCTGCCACCAGCAGTATGTAAGTCTAAACTATTAAATGACACATTTATATTTGGAATTTTAATTTTTAACTAAGCAAGTTTTCAAAACTTCTTTTATTGTTTTAAATTAAGAATTTTTTAAACTAAAACTAGAAACTCTGCCATAGTTCATTAATTTTTACATAAAACATTTATTTACAAGATGATCTCAAAATCACTTTTCACAAAGCAGGCACATTAATATCAACACCTTGCTCTGCTTTGTAAACTTGCCATCCAGGATTTTAGGGTGGTATTTATGTGAAATTAAAGCAGATTCTTTAGCAGTTTCCTATAGCTACAGTCCCCCCACTCCCTATGCTTCTAATTGGATATAAATAATATGATTCCATGATATATAATGGAAATGTGAATAAAGAATTTACATCAAAGATTTTAAACATTTGGTATTATAAAAAAAAATCCTTTGTGAATGTGATAGAAACTAGTAGTGTGGAGCAGTGTAAATATTTGAGGTGGTGATTTGTGAAGTAGCCCAGTATTGCCTTAAATAAAATCACATTTCATTTGTTGTTTTATACATGTGATCTTATAAAGGTTTTTTTTTTCCCCATTTTCTGAGATTTATAGATTGGTGTATAGCTTTAAACTGTATAAACTTTTGTGGAAAATTTTTTTAAACATTTTTATAAACCTTAAAATTGGTATCATCAAAGTGAGCCCATCTTGTGTTTATAAAATACAAGAGTCTTTTGAAACACTTTCTATAAGGAAGTTGGATGTTTCGGTTTTACTGTTTATAGATGTTAGATTGTACAGATTTGTCTGTATTTCCCACCAAATCTAATGATACTTTTTTCATTAGATTGGTCTTCCAGAGCAGTATTAGTTATTATTATTGATTATCTTGGTTATTCAGTATATAGTTAGCTCTTATAGTTTGGCTTTATTTACCATATTTATACTGTGGATTTACAGCTAGAGATAGAAGTTAATTTCACGAGAGTTTAGTTGAAGTCCAACTAAAAGCATGGGAAACAAAAGAAAAACATCCTTTCAAATTGACTTTTGTTTCTGTTTGCCATAAGTAGTAGCATTGAGTTTTGACTTTGTGTTATAAACCAGTTGCATTCACAATATTATTAGCCTGAGATATTGATAAGATTGTGATGATATGAAAATGTGTATATTCCCTGTGCAACATCAGATTTGCAGGAAAATGAAGCACTTAACATGAACTGAAATTGCTGGTACTCTGAATAAATAAGCAAGTATTATAGTTTTATTTTTAGGGCCTAATGGGTTATATTGAATAGTTGGTTTCACCTCCTTAAGGTTTATTACCAATATCCATAAAACTTGACACATTAAAATCCCTACCCTTTGGTAAGTCCACTGTTATTTATTAAAATAAAAGTTCTTGTGGGTGATTAAGACATGTTTTCTTTCCTATATTAACAATAACTGAGTAATTTTAACATTAAATTTTTGTTAACAACTTACGTTTTTGTACACTTTTCTTCAAAGTTGATCTAGCTCTTAAAGGTAGGCATTTGGCAAAATTTCCCTATATTGTGCAGAGGCAAGTAGATTTATTTCTGATGAATTTAGTGATGAGCCACTGTTAAATGAAAATGTGAATGTATTTGGGGCTTTTCTTTTGCTCATTAACTTAAGAACATTGACCACTAGACATTTCTGTAATGGTTCTCCTATATGTTAGAAGAGTTTGACAACATTAAGTTAAATTTTTTATATTCCAGGTTCTGTATGCTAAAAGTTATATGGAAGAGTGGGCTTTTTAGCATGGAACAGAAATAATCAAATTATGGTATAAAATAAATATGAATTTATAGAATAGCATGTTGGTAAGCTTTGATATGGAATGTAATGCCTAAGTATTAAAAAAAAGAATCATAAAGAATATATTTTTCATGGTATACTTTTCCTTAGTCATTTGTCTTGAGATATATTTTCCCTGCAGCCTCAATTTGCCTAAGATTTCATCATTATAAAATTGTTGTTTTTTCTCTTCTGAACCCAAAGAATTTGAATCTTACAGATCAGAACATGTTATTTATTCAAAATACATTGTTGTGTTAAGTGAAATGTAACAGTTTGGGAAATTTTCAGTAATGTTAAATTCAGCATAGTTAAATTTTTTTAAAGGGCTAGGCAGAGGTAGAGTTTTAACAAGACAAATTTTGATTATTAAGCTATCAAATACAGTTGCTATAGTTACTAAAATAAAGGTACGTAAATACTACAGCTAGAAACATCGAAGGAAGAATGCTCTTATTTTGTAAGGGGAAAGAAGGTTGGCAGTTATGAAAGTCTTATAGAAAATATGAGTCTTGAGAGATGAATGAGTAGACATCAAATGGTAAGAGGGGGGAAAGGAATTCTAGGCATGGAGGTATAAAGGGGCATAGTGCATTTGCAGTATTGTAAGTGGTCCATGTGGGAAGGGAGTTGGAGAAACTAAAGAGGCAGATGGGTGAGATCATGAAGGTTCTTGTATGCCATATTGATCTTCATCTTATTTTATGTTTGATTGTTTAAGTGGTTACTTAATGCATTTAAATTGAACAATTCGATTAGGTACCAATTTTAGAAAGATAATTGGCACTATAGAGAGAATACATTGGGTAACTTGGAGATTAAAAGCAGGGAGGTTTGCCCTAGCTGGTTTGGCTCAGTGGATAGAGCATCAGCCTGTGGACTGAAGGGTCCTGGGTTCCATTCTAGTCAAGGACACATGCCCAGGTTGTGGGCTCGATCCCCAGTAGGGGACATGCAGGAGGCAGTGGATCAATGATTCTCATCGATGTTTCTATCTCTCCCCCTCCCTTCCTCCCTTGAAGTCAATAAAAAATATATTTTAAAAAATAATAATCAATGGAAAAAATATCCTCAAGTCAGGATTAATAACAACAAAACAAAATAAAAAAGCAGGGAGGCTTGAAATAGTCCAGGCAAAAAATGATGGGAGCCAGATAAAAGAATGTTAATGGAGGTGAGAAACTAGTGGATGAGAGGTGTTAAAATGTAGACCAGTAAAGTGGCCTTTTTCAAAATGTTTATTGTAGTGAGATACCAGAGGGTTGGAAGGCGAGGTCTATTCAGTGTTTTTTAATATTGAGGTATATATCACTAAATTAGTGTAGTAAGGAACACACTTTGGGGAAATGATCTAAAATGGCATTTATTTAGCCAGGACTGATCATCAGCAGGTACGCACCAAGGTGGCTTGATTAGCTGTTTACCAATGGTTATTATTCTGACTGGTCAATTTATCCATCCTAGTTGATTGAATGTATTGATGTTTTGAATATCATCCTGCATTTAAATATTTATTGAATGCCAACTAACTGCACTTTTATTAAAAGCTAATCTTATTACTCAAAGTCCCTGACAGTTTCTCCAAATACTTAGCTACCTATCACTTTCCTGATGTTTCCATCTCTTTGAACACACACTAAGCGTCTTCCCCCATCTCAAGGCCTTTACTCATATCATCTCATCTGTCTGGAATGCTTATTCCTGTATTTGTATGGCTGACTCACTCATGAATTCTCATCGGAGAGAATTAATAAAATGTCACATGCCCATTCTCTATATGTGTTTAATTTTTATATTTACTGTGCCTCACAAATCATTTATTTTCCAATGGCCTTAATCAAGGTGCTTTCATTTCAAAAATCTGCTTCCTATAAATGGGGAGCGCTACACCCACACCACCATTATTTCTTGTCTAGATGTTATATTCAAAACCTCTTCTAAGTCTTGGATTCAACATTCCCTTTCTCCAACCACAATTTTTTTCCAGCTCACCTCGAATTACCTCCACTAAAAAATTCTACCATATCATAACTAATCAATCCTACCACCAGTACTTTCTTACTGTTGGTCAGCTCACTTATTGGCTTATTCATCTTAAGACACTAGATCCCACTGTTAAACACACTCCCTTGTAAATATCCTGAGACCATGCCGCTCTCTGTCATGATCTAGAAAAATCTCAAAACCTTCTGTCTACTTCTATACAGTTGAATGGGAGAAAATTATTACACCAGGAAGGTTTATCTGAAATCTGCCTGGCAGTTTTTTTTATGGTTTTATTGTAACTAACTTCCACAAACTTCCAATGATTTATGTATGCTTTCACTCAATATTCTCATTCCCTTTTAACCATTTTCGCCACCAAATTAACAAACCCATCTATATCTGCACTATCTTATACTTACTAAAAACCAACCCCTTCCCATGTAGTCTGGATTCCATCCCCCCTCACTTTCTAAACTTTTAATTACTCATCAACCTTCCTTGATGAAATCATTTATAACAGATTATAAGTATACCATAGTAGCTACTGTTCTTCAAAGAAGGGGCTGCCATTTATTTGGTCCCGCCATAGCTAATCTAAATTACCTTCTCAGACACCAATTTCTTCTCTTCTGATTTACTCTCACTTTATATGCCCCTACAGTTCTGAAGTTGCTCTCGTGAGGATCACCAGTCTCTTCCATGGTGCCATATCTATTGGGTTTCTTTTTCTGCCCTCAATCACTGCCTGAGGAGCATTCAGTAGTTTTGATGACTTCCTCTTTGAAATATTCTTTTAGTTTTCTTGACATTTTTCTCTTGGTTTTTCTTCTTACCCTTTCTGGCTGCCCCATCACTGAATCCAACCCTAGTTCTTCTACCAGTACGTACCTGACCTTTGGCTCGTTGTGTATGTCTCTGTATTCTCCCTCTAAATGATTTAGTCGGTTCTGTGCAGTTTAGTATTACTAATATATCTGCTTCCCAGCTTTGTACTTCTAAGACCAAACTTTTCTTAGGTCAGGCTTGTACTGGTCCATCTGATAGCTAAGCAAACCACATCCAAATCATTCTGTTTCTTCTCATTATTCTTAAGTGAAGTCACTGAGTTTCTCAAGCTAGGTTCTTTAATGTTGTCATAGTAACCAATTCATGTGCTTTTCCCGTGTTAGGTCACAATTAACAATTATTTCTACTTACTAGGTGAAGAACCCTCTTGCTTCTCTCCTTGTCTCACCCAAGCCACCATTATTTCTTGCCTAGACCACTATAATGTTCTCCTTATAGGCTTTATTCCAGAATATTCCCCACCAGGCAGCTAGATTGTTTCTTTTTAAGAAATATTTTTGGGTGAGGGGGCAGGTTCAGGGAACTCATTCATTGTCTTCACACTGCCCTTTGAATAAAGTATGGTTTGTTTGTTTTTACTGTGACTTCTGCTTCTCTCTCTCTAAGCACTTTGTGTCACTCTCCTTTGTCCATTGTGTTCTAGCTATTTTGTTTTCTTTTGACTTTCTCAAACCAGCCCAGCCCTTTAGAGGAGCAGTATTGTACATGGAAGGTTACCTAGGGATAGAGTATATATAGAAAAGGGCCTAGCGCAGTGATGGCGAACCTTTTGAGCTCGGCGTGTCAGCATTTTGAAAAACCCTAACTTGACTCTGGTGCCGTGTCACATATAGAAATTTTTTGATATTTGCAACCATAGTATAAAAAAGATTTATATTTTTGATATTTATTTTATATATTTAAATGCCATTTAGCAAAGAAAAATAAACCAAAAAAAA